AGATCCAACAAGTAATACCGATGAGGAAATGCTCGTTTGTTGCTGTGATGATAATTGTGATTCGACTGGTTTACAGTTGTACGAATTTAACAGTAACATACAATTTTCAATGGAGGGCTGATAATTTTACAAATATTAATCAAATTGCTTATCACTATATAATCATTCCTCTTTTTTTTATTATTTAACAAAAACTTAATAAAAACTTGTACAGTTATGCTTGAGCTCATCAATTATCGTTGTATAAAATGTGAAACACAACAAAAGAAACCAAATTAATCTCAAACATAAATGTGCACGCTGCTATGTGCTCATTACGCACGTATATGTAAATTTTCAGCGACAATTTGTTGTAGAAGAGATGTGCAGTGGTTTTGTTGAACCTCTTCAATTCTCAATCTTTATTTTCTTTTATTTCTAATCAATTTAAATAAGCCGTTTAAATAGCAAAAACAAATCCGATTCATCAATTTTTAAAGTTTTTTGTTGACTTTCTACAGTGAACTGTCGATAAATTTGTCAATATTTTCAGAAAAATGAAGTCAGTTTATTTATAACGTAATACAATCCAAACGCAATATCAATACAAAGACAATTTAAAAAATTTTTAAATTTGAGTTAAAATTTCAAAAATTAAATATTCAATGAAAACATGTCTTTTCCAAAATTTGTAACAAAAGATTATTAATAAAAAGTAAACGGTCATTTTTTTCGTTATCATTTACATCATCCTTTCTTTGTTTTTCCTCTCAATCCATCTTTTTCTTTCGTTCTACTCGAAAAATGCGGAAAATAATTAAACTGTGGAATAAAAAAGATGGATTACTGAAACACATCGAAAACGTGGGACAGGTTCTATTCAAAATTTAAAAAGCGCAAGACTTAAACAATTTCGTCACTTCATTTTTGATGCTTAAAAATGCCCTTAAATGTGTCAATTAGGAAAGTCGTGGTTAAATCTTAATTTTTCTTTATTTCAGAAGGCTTTTCTGTTCAAAAAAGAATTTGCTTGATTATAGTTAATAATTAAAAATACTTTTATAATTTTAATTAAGATTTCATTCACAATGTGCCTTAATCTTTCCACTCATATTCTTTTCACTCATTAACACATAACCTTTAATGAATCACTCCAACCCGAATTCTCTCTCTCTTCAAGGATATTATAAATGCCACTTCGAGACTGATCTGTGAGAATAACACAAGAATCTACAATTAAAGCATAATTTATTTCGAAATGTATTGGAACGCTAAAATTCATGTATTTCGTAAAATCTGAATTTCTAAATACAGAAAAACATTATTTTAGATTTTAATATAATAATTTCAAATATGGCAAAGATAATAATGTATCTTGTTTTCTTCATCTATTGCGCTGCCAATCCAAGAGCTGGAGCTGGAGCTGGAGGAGCAGCAGCTCAGGGAGCAGGTATGCTTCATGACCCGGTCATTCTATTTCCAAATGAAATATTGTTGTGGTCAGTCTATCAAAAACAGATTACGGCATCGATCATTTCGGGGTCTCTTACCCCGTTTTTTTTAGTAAACTGTATTCGACAACTGAAATAATTTGAGTAGTACAATCTATTATTATAGGATGATGAGCGATAGTAATAAATCTATTCGAACCTATACTAACATCAATTTCAGCTGCGGATATTATCACAGATCGTGAAGTTGACAAGTTCTGGGACAGCGATCAATTATTGGTGACAACGGAAGTTAAAGAATGTATGTTCCACGCTCTAAAAAATTGATTGATTGGACTGTTTGATATTGACTGATTGTCATTTCATTAATTTTAATTTTTCGGTTCTTTGGCTTTATTATACATTAAAAAAAATTAATTTACATAATTATTCCAATTATAATTGCAGCGACAATGACGAGTTGTGACAAAATGGAAGATGGAAGACTGCTTATTTTGGAAAAGTGTTCGCTGTTATTTTTGAGCAACGCTGTTAACTTAATAAAATGAAGTTAAAACCGACAAATATTGGAAAGGCCATATCATAATTAAATTAATGGATGGTAAAAATATACAACTGAATATTCATAAATGTTTTACCTTTCTAAGGTATTTAATATGTGTTTTTATCGTGTGTTTTCCATCTGTATCAGGAACTCTTTGAAAGTGGGTTGGCAAAAAAATTTAAAGGTTTACAAAATCTTAAAATACAAGTATGAGCGTTTTGTCAAAAATATGAGTTCCCTTCTTTTAACTTGAGATTATTCATTTTTTTTAAAACATACAAACATTAAAATTTTTCCTTAAAATCTCGATCATTTATGTACCGTGGAGGTATTAATATTTGCATTGATAATATGATAATTAATTTGTGAAGGCATCATTTCCAATATTATCAGAAAGATTTTAATTGAACTGTTAAAATCTTTCTGATGGTTTTAGAAACAATCCTGTCCTCACAGGTAAAGAACTTCGCTCGGTCATTCCACCCTCTTTTTTAAACTTTTTGATAAGACAACTGAAATAATTTGAAAAAAAAAGCAGTATTTAATAAATATTTCAAATTTCGAAGGTTACTACTTTTCCGTAATGTTATTTTGATAACGTTATTACCCATTTTAGTAACACAGATTATTACAAATAATGTAATTAATATTAATCATTTCAATTACTTTTAATTTAACAATTTTTCCATTTAAAAAAAAAATTTGAAAGAGAGCTTCTCGTTATTTGTGAGAAACATTCTAACTTAATAAAATGAAGTTGGAACCTGTAAATAGTGATAAAGATTGATCATATCTCCACAAATGCAGAAAATCAGAATGTTAATAAGAAAAATCAAAAAAGTGGAAATCAAATACAAAAACAAAAATAGAAATAATGCCATTCTAAGCAAATAGAAAATAATAAGAAAAAAAAACTGCAATCAGATGAGTAAAATATCGTAAAGACAAAAACACGCTTTCTTTATGTTTTCTAATTTCTTTTTCATTACTTTTCTCTTTTAAAATTTCATTTTTTTAAAAACATAAGGTTGCAAAGCAGAATTAAAAAACTTTTCATTGAGATAAACTTAAGGCGAACTCACTATTCGTAAATGTGAAATTGTTAGTTTTAAGCATCAACGATTATTTTGGCTTTCCTTTAAACACAGTCATTTTCTG